GTAAATCTGCTGTACCCATCTTCGCAATTCCGCGGGTTAAACCCCTAAATCTTTGGCATCGATCGCGAGTCCCCCTTACTGCTGCTCTTGAAGACGTTTAAGGTAAATTTTAAACATTTTTTCGTAAGTCAATAAATTGTAAATAAATTGATAATCAGTATTGTACAGATAAGAGCAGGTATAGTATAAATTCAATTAAGAAACCTTTCAATTTGGGACAGTTTTTTGATTGGTTACCCCCCGAAAACGCAAGGCATTATGGGGATGTGAAAGTCGAGAATAGCCTTATTCTGTGTCTAGATTTTTGATTTTTGCTCGCAATGTGGGGCTAAAATGAGAAGAAATACCAAACATTTTACATTTGCTTGTACAGCCTTTCAGGGGCCGATGAACTATTTACCCATAGACCATGAGGGCTATAGGTCAATAGGCCCTTTGCAGTTAACGGCCACGTGTCTGTACTGGAGAGCAAAGTTTTTATTTTTATTTTAAATTGGTGGTTCTTTTTASCTACTCGTAAAGGACGGAATGAAACGACGTGTAATCAGTGAGTTACGAAATGCCGTTCTATTACGATCTCTCAAAACAGGTTGTAGAAAGTTTGTTTGCTCACCAGGAATATTTCACCCATGGGAATCAAAATGTTCATTCATTTGCTCTCAGTGAATTAATCACCACGTGATTACTGAGCTGCAAATGCCCTATTGTTTAGAATGTTAAATGAAGCAATTTCCATTTGTTTGATAGACTCGTCAGTTGTCAACTGCAAAGATGATAGAATGAGGTGTAGTAAGGAAAAGGTCGTGGGTAACTGTAAAGGGAGAATCGAAAGATACTACTATGATAAGGCTGCTAAGGCATGCTGGAGGTTTTGGTACAGCGGTTGTAATGGAAACCCAAACAACTTTGAGACACGAAGAGAGTGCCAGGATGCATGTATGGGTAAGTATTGAAGGGTGTGGTATTTTTTTTGTTTATGCTTCCTATTTCAGATCCCAGCGATCTGTCCTACCCACATCTACTCATTCCTATCCATTCATCTAACTTTCTCAGCCACCCATTCGTCCTTTCCCATCAACCCATTATTCTGTCCTATCCAATCTATCCACTCATTCTTATCCATCAATTATTCTGTCCTATCCAATCTATCCACTCTATCTTATCCATCAATTATTCTCTCCTATCCAATCTATCTATCCATTCATTCTTATCCATTCATCCACATTTGCTATAAAGCAATCTACCTATTCCATCTATCCATCCCTACCCATCCATCCATCCATCTATCCCATCCCTCCATCCGTCCCCGCCTAAAGGCTCTTGAGTACAGATAAAAAATACAAGTAACGCGTGAAATATTTAATAGTATGCTACTTGAAAGCATTGTATAACTAGCACATAATACATTCATGTGCATTGTAGGTACTGGGAATATATATGTGTGTGTGTGTGTTTCTTTTTAAATTTAATTTCAATTTTATATTTTAATTTATTAACATTTTTATTTTATTTATTTATTTTTATTTTATTTATTTATTTTTATTTTATTTATTTATTTTTATTTTATTTATTTATTTTTATTTTATTTATTTATTTTTATTTTATTTAAATAAATCAAATTAATACACGCAATACCAAAGGAGTAAAAGATCGTTTGAAAAGAGAGAATATATAGTATGTTACTTATCTAACTATTGTCATTTCAACACTAACCAGGCAAAGGTTTCTGTCTCTTCCCTCCCGTGGCTGGCACTTGTAAAGAAAGCCTCCCTAGATATTACTACGACAACAACACCAAGCATTGCAAGCCCTTCACTTATAGCGGATGCGGTGGGAACAAGAACAACTTCAAAGTAAAGGATGACTGCCTGAAAGAGTGTAGAGTTCACTTCATCTAAGGTACGAACCAGAGGACAATAACCTAAAAATTCAATTGAATTTCATTAAAATTACGTCACGTGACACCAACCATCCAACCACAAAACGAGCTATATTTGAACTATATTTAGCAATGTGATGAAAGAGGAAAATCAGAGTACCTATAGAAAAGTCCTCGTGGTAGGGGGAGAAAAAACACATGAGTTAATCAAACTCTATTTCATGTGGCTTCCACAAGAATGAAGCGTATGAGAATCTGTAAGTTCTATAGTGGTACCAGTGAATGGTAACTATTTTACCACGGGCTACGCCACCATTGCAAACCTATTTTAACATTTTTACACTTAAAAATCCGTGTGCTGTCAAGTCTTTCTCAATGATGGGGAGTGCACAGGACCCCTTCCCCTCCCCCCCCCAGTTGAAACCGTGTCTGCAAAGATTCCATTTAAGACTAAAATTCTCTCCCTTACTTCCCGGCATTTCTTTCTCATTGTTTTATCTTTTCTTTCTTTAGGCAAGATTTCCTGAAGTTTCAAGAAACCGTTGGGAAAATCCCGAATGCACTGCCGAAGAATATAATAAGTAATATAAAATAACGAAAGGAAAATGGAAAACTGCATCATTGTAACCCAAGGGTAAATAAAGCATACTCAATATTCTAACATGTAAAATAAATGAAATAAAGAACAGAGAAAACGGGGTTTAATTTTTCTCTTTAGTATATAGAATCTTCCAAAAATCAGCCCCAGAATGCCATACGGGAGGAGATGGTTACCAGTCCTTCTCTAAATTTCACACGATAAAAAGAGCCGGGATTTCCTTTTGAAGTTTTCTTGAACTTTTTTAAGGCTTCATTTATGGTTGATGTATTATTTCGAGTTCTTTTCCACTTGAATGGATCTCACATTACAATTTAATCCCCGAAGCCTTTTTAATCAACAGCTTTATAAAAAAAAGATCTCTTCGGATTTTTCAGGATTTTTTCGTAATGATAACTGAGTTGGCAAGGAAACCAGTGGAAGCATGGATTACCTTATCTCGTCCAGAATGCTTAAATGGTTTTAAATATAACTTTGTGTGTGTGTGTGTGTGTGTGTGTGTGTGTGTGTGTGTGTGTGTGTGTGTGCATATTCTTGGTGAATGAATGAAAAGCTCAAAAATGGCCTTTTGGAATTAGCTAAGGCTGAGATAATACTTAATTTGGAGAATTATCGTTGTTAAAGTTTATTTCAAAATTAAGTTACCAATCAAGAAGTGGTTATGACGACCAAGAAAGGCGCAGACAAAAATGCTTTGATTACAAATCATTACGAGCAAATAAACGCATGTACTTGGGAAAGATTGTCTTTTGAAATCCTTAGTCAAACAGTTACGGACGAAACGCGTAAAAACCGTCGATATCAGAGATGGAAAGAAAAGTAGTTCTGGTGGCACTTCTTCTTTTTGCATGTGAGTTTTGTTTAAGAAACTTAAATATTTTATAGGATTCTAATAATTTTTGAGATAGACAACTTAAATTTTGACACCTAATTTAGAACTCGGACGTTGTATCTTTTGGAAAAGAGTGTGCGCTTACATTTTGAAAATGGAAGACCTTGGTTCCTTCAAGTTTTCTTATCGTTTTTTCTTTTCTATTTCTCTTCTCTTTTGTTGTCGCAATCCCTGAATTCCTCCTTTAACTATTTTACTCTCCTTTTCTCTCTATAAAAAGGTTGACTCTCCGAAAGACCTCTCCTTACTGTCCTGAAAGAAAGACGTTAGCTTGTAATGGAAATCGCTAGTCTCTGGCCTTCATTTTCTCAGCCCTTCTCACGTTATTTGCCTGTCCATGCTTCTTTGTTCACTTTCTCTCTTGCGGTCACAATCAGTTCTCCCTTTAATCTTTTACTCCGTATTTTCCTGGTATTTCTTTCTGCTTTTCTCTCTCGAGTCTCTAATATTTATATTTTGTTTCTAAGTGTACAATTTATTACTCGTTGCTAAACCACGTAGTTTATCTTCTACTCCATCAAGTTTTAACAATAAAGCAAAAAAATAGTACACAAACTAAAATAAGAAATCAGCGTGGTACTCAAAATACAACTATAACTAATTCGGTCTATGATTATGACTTATTATTTTACTTATTTGAACAAAATCCAATTAAGGCGTACAGCTCTCCCTGAGTGAGAAGACGAGGGAACAATGCCAACTCCCTAAGAACGAGGGCAACTGCAATGAAAGGTTTTCCAGGTATTTTTTCAACAAAGACACGGGAAAGTGTGTCGAGTTTACTTACACTGGATGTGGAGGAAACGAAAACAACTTTGAAACATTGAGACAATGTAGAACCGTGTGCAAGTAAGGTAAGACTACATTTTGTAGAAAAAGCTTTCAAATCTTATCGATAACTTAAAACAAACGAGGGATGGAACAAAGTCAGGGCACGGCTATAACACAGATAGAACCATGAAACAACCTCTAGGCTGATCAAAGTCTGGGCACGGCTAAATCACAGATCGAACCCTGAAACAACCTCTGGGCTGATCAAAGTCAGGGCACGGCTAACTCACATATCGAACCCTGAAACACTGACATCTGGGCAGATCTAAGTCTGGGCACGGCTAGCCCACAGATCAAACCCTGAAAAAAACCCTGGGCTGACGATTAAAGTCAGGGCACGGCTAACTCACTAAACCAATCCGAATTTGGCCCATGGAAAAAAACACTCAACATGGTTTTTGTTATATTTGCCAAGAAGCATAGTTTCTAGTTTGCATGTTCTTTCCCTCCATTTTCTCTGAAGCGAAATCTAGCCATATGTACGAGAGAAGCAGAAAAGAAAGCCGTCTTTCTTGACAAAAACAGTTCTAGTTGAAAATTCAGCATCAAACTCTTTTCAATCAACGTTTAAATGAAGAGCTTTAAAATAGCTTAAAACTCCGTAGAATTTGATAGACTATCATATTTGTAAAGGCATAAAATGGTTACTTGGAAACACGTTGTCTTGGAAACTAAATAGATTGTCGCGTACCGAATTTTAGCCCCACAATCCTATGCACACCCCGACGCCGTTCCTTTGAACTTCGGAAAGCCGAATGAGTGCCGAAGGGTTACGTCACGCCTCATTTTACGCTAATGACCTAACATTTATTTTTGCTTTTTTATAGGGTAGGGAGGCTGTGCAGCAAAAAAGTCGGGACCAAAAGTAGCTGGTTCAGGATGCCATACCATCGTACCAACTATGACATTGAATAAAAGCTATGAAGTGAATTAAAGCATAAATATAGTAAATATAGTAACTGCTGTACAACTGAAATAAATACGAGAAAATAAAGTGGTTATTCATGCGTTTTTCTTCATCTTTGATTCTATATCCACAAATCGAAATGTGTTCTTAAAAGAATTCAAAATCTTTGGAAATAAAGAAGGTTGAAAATTGTATACGAGGCAATATGCAAACTTTGGAATTTTTATTTTTTGAAATTTTATATTTTAGAAATAATAATAAGATTGGTTCAAAATAGAACTTACGATTCAAAATGAGAATATTGTACAAAGAAGATACCGAAGAAAAGTAAAAACATTTAGGAAGAAAAGGAAAGCGATATGAAGGAAGAGTCAATCATTTAGTATTTCAACAATCTAAAATTAAATGAATCGGAAAAAACAAATCTAAAAGGAGAGAAATTGAAAGTGATTCAAAACATGTCAGTATAAATAAAAAAGAAAAATGGTGTGATATAAAGAGAAAAGAAAAATGGGGAGCTAAATAAATTAAGGAACTTATAAACTTTTTATATAAGAAATACTTAGATGTAAAGAGAAAGAAAGGGAGAAAGAAAGAAGGTTACAGAAGATTTAAGTAAGATCCATGTCAGTATAAATGAAAAATAAAAATGGAGTGATATAAAAAGAAAAGAAAAATGGGGGTTAAATAAATAAAGGAACTTAGAAACTTTTTACATAAGAAAATACTTAGGTATAAAAAGAAAGAAAGGAAGAACGGAAGAAGGTTACAGAACATTCAAGCAAGATCCATAGTTTACGTGCAAAAAATCATTCGATTAATGAAATGACAAACAGTATAACACATGAAAAGAAGACGAAAGAAAAATAGTACAAAAAAAAAAAAAAGAAAAAGAAAAAGAAAAAGAAATTATGAGACATAATATACATAATGTAAAGAAATATGAATTATGAAGGGAAGAAACGAAAAATGATGTGAAAAAAGAAGGAAAAAGAACTGAAAGGATAAAAGATACTGACTAAAAGCCAGTACACTGCACATTGTTCAAAAGAAATACTGAACTTGATTTGTCAAGCCTCGTTTACCTTTTCATCCAAGACATTTCATTAAAAAAAAWTTTTTTTGAAAGAAATATCCCTAAAGGCGATTTTTTTTTATTCCCAATGAGGCATTGCATAGCCATCACTCATGACAAAGGGCTAAAATTTTCGAGCAATCGCGTATACACACACATATATATAAACCAGTTACTTCTAGTGACACATGTTCATATACAACTAATGATTTAAAAGGTTTTCAAACCGTTCTTATACAAGTCTGACAGCTAACTAAAATAACCTAAACTCAACCAAAACATTGTTCTTCTATCGAGAATAATGGATTTTTCCTAGACAGGAATTTCATATTTTTGCCCCCCTTCGGCTGCCAAAACGCCAAGGCAAAACGGGAACAGAGAAGAAGCCGTTGTAAACATGGCGTTCAGTTGTAGGTAACTAGTTTGCTTAGTTGAAGATAACAGGAAAAAAAAGTGATAAAAAATGCGACATACTTGACCATCCCAATGAGAATTCCTAAAACAAATTGACTTTTCTGTACGTGAAAGTCAAAAATGAATTAAAGATCATAACGATCAATATCCAGAAAGCCTTTCAAGCGTCCATGATTGACAATCTTCTCTTGAAGGGTTTGTTTACCTAAGAGGCGTAGATGAAAAATATCAGCCCGAAATACACTAGTCGATTAATATTTGAAAAAAAGACTTATAGCTGGTCAAAATTCCGTTATTTATTCAGTTGCTCAATGACAGGTTTTATCTACTAATTGGAGTAGAATGGTATTGATTTTACCTCCGGTCGTATATCTATTCCAATTAATAGCCAACCGGTTTTGGGTTGGATGAAATGTTTCGTTTTTGAACTAGCACAAGCAACCGAACGCCGGAAAAATTGTAAAAAAAAATTACACGATAGGGAGGGATATGCATATTTTAAAAATACTAAAATAATCGCTGGCTTTATTTTTCTTAAAATAATTGTACTGTATTAGAATGGATTGTTTACTCGCTGTTTGACATTTAGTTCTTTAGACTTCACTTTTTCATTTGTTACAAGTAACTCACCGAACATCAAGTCGTAGGTAGCCTTCGTCTTATCTGGAGAATTATCAGTTAGGGAATTAAACTTGAAGTCTTTTTGAGACGGTTAGTTGAAGCATGTCTTTGGATGTGTTTTTCTCGAACAAATAGCTAGCACTCGTTTTCTTAATGCAAGATACATAAAAACGTAGCATGACATCTTTGGATTTCTTCCTTTATAATCATGACCTAAATTAACACCTACACAAGAAGAACCGTCCTGCAGCAAAAAATCGGAACTACTATCAAAAAGTCCCAAAAAAAAAACGCGATTAGAAAATTTTTTTTGGCTGCAATTTCATTTATTTCGAAATGAAAAGAGGCCACGAGCTAGAAATTTWAAAAAAAAGCGTTTACATTAAAATATTTCAACGTGAATGTCATTCTCTTAGTAAACCTTTCGTCGTCATTCATTAGGAACAAAAATTTCAATCCTCTTGAGAGTAAATATCACTGGCAGGAAAGCAAAGCACGAAACATGAGATTCTTAATCGAGAAATTCTTTTCTACGTTCTTGAACATAATTGAACATAACAGAATCTCGTGTATTTTTGACATAACATCACGGTCAATTCTAGAAGCCATTAATAACGTTTTACTTATAGACTAAAAGCATATTATATCTTTCCTCAGAATGGAATAAACTTGAAATTAAGATAACATGGCAGATAGGATTAGATTCATCACTTCAAACTCAAAACCCCCGACGTATTTTTTWAAATATTTTTCTATTGAACGAACTATGTAATAATTTAAAGAAAAAAAAAATCCCAATATTTTAGATTTTTTAAGTGAGATTACGAAAAAGACTATGTTTTGATTTCAGTGTCATTGCTTTGTCTGTAGTGCTTCTTAATGGTTTCACGGTGCTGTGAGGTCCCTAAGTTTGTTTTGAAATAGCGTAGCTCATTCGTCTTCCTGTCGTACAATAAACCCCAGAGCTCTGAATGCACACTCAAATACAACAGGAGCTAAATGCAAAAGGCCTTCCCGCTTTATTTTCTGAATCTTTCATAGCCATAAAACATACAATGAAACCGGAGGCAGTCTTTTAATTGATTGAAAAAACGATTTCCCGGTAAACAAACCCAGCACACGCCACAAGTCTATTACACAMAAAAAATTCCGGTCGATAACGAGCTAGGGCGATACCCACATGTGGAGGAAACTACGTCACTTTCAGCTCAATTGACAGCTTCAAGGGGAAAGCCGTTGGCAATAAGAAACTCTGTCAGGTAAATGATGATAATTAGAATATTTAGGCAGAYGAAGAGTAGTGTATAAAAGGTCCTACGTCCAGAACTTAGTATCGCTTTTTTTTGCTGAACAAGCTGGTAGGTGAACTTACTCAAGGGAACTGTCTGGGAGATTCAAGAACTACGTATTGATCTACACCAGATACAAGGTAAAGCGTTATTCTATTCCTGCAAAATTTCAAAACAGTTTCTTGTTTTAAGTTGTATTATTGTAGCAGTACTATAGACTGGTTTTAGAATGATTTTACATTTTACTAAATCTTGCACTTTCCATTTCTTGACCAAAAACAATGTTAAAAAAATGTTTGAACTTTTTACGGAGAAATATCTCCTTTTTTGTTGATTTTTTTTTTTTTTTGATTAAAAAAATTATTTTCTTTCAAAGTACTTTATTTCATTTTCAATGTACAATTGAAATATATGGCGCGACCATACTAAAGATTTCAAATATATATACATATAAAGATTACCAACGAGTAAACCACATTAAATAACTGTTCTGAAAAGCTTGAAATTTGTACTACGTAGGGTTATAGGTTAATGAGGATTGAACTGAAAACAGTCAGTCACGACAATATCTATGATTGTAATGGGTTTATATAGCTTTCAAAATCTTTAAAATGTACTCTGTCAGACATTTAATTTTGATTGGCATAGTTTCTATTTCTTTAATATTAATTTTCAAAAACATGCTATTTGCGACAATTGTTCCCAGTAGATCTATCCCTTGATGCGAGGATTTTTTTCCGGTTTTTCTGGTTTTTCTCCCCGCTCCGCCAAACCCAACACGCATGTCGCTAGATTCCAATTGGATGTGTAAGTTAGCCGTGCCCTAGCTTTGATAAGCCCACAGGTTGTTTCATGGTATCGATAAAATTGAAGCACGTTCGCTCGTGGAAGTGTTTTAAATTTCAAGCAGCCATTAGTGAATTAACCGGTTTACAAAGATAAACGCTCACTTTAAACGGCGCTTTCCTTAATATCAATAAAGCTGAAGCAGTGCTGTTATATTGAAGATGTTTTCGCTAGGTTAATCGTTATCAAACGCATTTTTCTTTCAACCCACTTAATGAAATAATATTGCTTTATCGTTTCTCTCCTCAGAAACCGAAATATGAGATTCTCTTTACATGTTCTAAGTTTCGCCCTGCTTATCGCAGTCGTCATAGCAACAAATGAAAAGAAAGAAGAAAAACTTCCACCAATCATAGACCTGGGCCAGCCTGCTTACTTCCATATAAGGGGAAAACGTGAAGAAAGTCGTCCGCCTTTAGTGGATTTAACTGAGCCAGCATTCTTTCACATCAGAGGCAAGAGAGTTGCTAAGCAACCACCATTTTTGGGACAGCCAGCCTTTTTCCATATAAGGGGAAAACGTAAAGAAAATCCTCCGTATGAAGAATTAATCGAGCCTGCGTTCTTTCACATCAGAGGCAAGCGAGTTGCTAAGCAACCACCTTTCTTGGGAGGACCAGCCTACTTTCATATCAGAGGAAAACGAGATGTGCTTCCACCTTATGTAGATTTAACTGAGCCCGCCTTCTTTCATATCAGAGGTAAACGAGTTGCTAAGCAACCACCTTTCTTGGGAGGACCAGCTTATTTTCATATTAGAGGCAAGCGGGAAGAATATCCTCCCTATATAGACTTGACTGAGCCCGCATTTTTCCACATCAGAGGCAAACGGGTAAGTATAGAAACGATTATGTACACTACTACACGTTTTCAAAAAATTTCAAAAATATTTGCCGCTAAACTGAAAGTAACCAGGAAAAATATCACGGACGAAGAAACCAACCAAATAAAATGCCACGTGACTTAAGACCAAAGGCTCATTGGAATTTCGACGCTTTTGCACTGATATAAGTCATTATACCTGTTGACCGCTATTTTGATTTTTACGCCATATCTTTATTTTGGTGTTGTTGCAGGATCCAAGTAAAGAATGAAATAAAAAGACCAAGAAAATGAATTCAAAGTATATAGTGTAATAGACGACTTGCACTAACAGGTCACCTGACCCTACCTCCCTTAAAACGAGCAGTTTTGTCAAAATTAAAAAAACAGAAATGAAGAGAGCATCTCGGCATTAGTAGGTAKGCGGAGTTTCAACTCATAATAAGCGAGAAAGGAGAAATGGCATTAGATACAAAATTGAATGTTTTAAAAGGATTTATATGGGTAAATGCCCTGGATGGCAAAAGCTTACCAGCCAACACTTTTATAACAAAATCCAATACGATCAATACAAACCCTTTAATGTCTTCTCTCTTATAGTAAAAATGTCGAGCTAAAATTTCGCCCTCTTACTAAATTTGAGGCGCTCGTTTCATTTCTGGAGTTCAATTTGACTTATTTGCTTGTTTTAAAGGGGATGGGGTCACGTGACTCGTTAGTGCAAGTCGTCTATTAGTGATAATTGTTTACGATTCGTACGCGAGGTAAAAATAGCTTGACGATGGGACGACAAACCGAAGCAAAATGAAAACCCTAGTTCAAGACTAACAAGCGACGAACAGTTATAGAAAACTAGAAATATTTGTAGGTGGTGGACCGAAGGAAATGTCACAGTTAGTAATGTAAGTTATACATAAATCAGAAATAAAACTAATATCGCAAAAAAAAAAAAGCTGTCAAATGTGTCATTAAAACTATTCCTAATGGACTGGACTAAAGTATGCCTAAGGAGGGTCTAGTTACTCCTTTAATTTGGGTCCTATGAGTAATTTGTCTAGAAATAATGTCTTTTGATCGATATAATGTCCTTTCAGCAATAGGTTGCTATCAATAGACGTCACTTCCGGTAATAGCTCTTTTTTGATGGCTTGTAGAATCCTGGAGGTTGTTTTGATCTCTTGTTTTCTGGTTTGATGTCGTGAAAATAGTCAAATACAATAGTTTGAGGACTTATTTTGATATGTCGTGACTTAGCATCCGCTAGTTGCCCCCCAGTCAACTCCAAAAAGTCACGTGATTGATAGTAAGCAATAGCACGCATTCGGTTGCATTCAATCGCGATTTCGGATAATTATCGACACTTTCAATACAATAAATTGTTATAAATCGTGGATAAATACATAAAGCAATTAAAAAATCAAAAGAGATATATACACAATCATAGATTTGGTAACAAATATTCGGATAATTACAAATTGATTGAAACCCTCTTGTGTCAAAAGGGACCATACTCGATCATTGATATATAACCCAAAAATAGACGGCTATTGGCAACTATTTCCTCACCCTCACTCCCTCTAATAGGCTAATCCCCCAAAAATATACTAAATCAACCGGGGGGGGGGGGGGGGGGGGGGGCAAAAATACGAATATAAATAAAAAACGTTTTCCCCCCGAAATTTGATGCTTAATTTTCACCCCCTCCCCCCCACTTTTCAATATGCTCCGCGGTCCCTCCATTCCCTCTCTCGTTCGGGAGGAGGGGGGACGTAAGGGGGAGGCTGTAGGGGGGAGGGGAGTGGGAGTGGGGCAACCAAGTGTTTGACAACCCAAATTATTCACATATTATTTCCACTTCCCATAAAAACATGTTCGATGTATACAAGATTTCATAGTTACTGTTGCCATGGAGATTCTTGATTACTTGGTCAACGTCTGACCATCGGTAGAGTTGAACAGTATGTAGATTTGACGAGAAAGCTCGGGACCAATGCGACGAGAGGTTGATAGCACTCCTTCACCACGTCGAACCTGATGAATAGGATAACAATGATTTAGATATCTAGATTCAGAAAACCATGGTGTGGCAACAACGAAAAACAGAAAAAAGAAAACAAGAAAAACAAGGACAAAAAATACGTCGAACCTGATGAACAGGATAACAATGATTTAGATATCTAGATTCAGAAAACCATGGTGTGGCAACAACGAAAAACAGAAAAAAGAAAACAAGAAAAACAAGAAAAACAAAACAAAACAAAGAACAAAACAAAACAAAAAACGCGTCGAACCTGATGAACAAGATAACAATGATTTAGATAACTAGATTCAGAAAACTATAATGTGGCAACAACGAAAAACAGAAGAAAAAAAACAAGAAAAACAAGAAAAAAAAACCCACGTCAAACCTAATAAATGCAATAAATGGTTTAGATCACTAGATTCACAAAACCATGAAAAAGTTAAAGTTATGTGGCAAAAAATTAAACCTCCTGCTCTCTATGTTACGAGTACGTAATCTTCCAGACTCCCCTTTGTTACCGTTGCTATGCCACACAAGCGTAGCAAGAATATCTAAGAATTTAAAAATCTGATGAGGGAAAAGTAATTCTAAATTGTTTCAATTTTGTTCACTGTTCTGTAAAAATAGAATAAAATTGCCTCGTAATCCTTGTAGTATTCTTTAAAACAGATTCTGTGTAGTTGTTTGTGCGACAAGATTTTAATTCCAATGAGAAAACTGTTGCAACGGTGATTGGTTCGCTATTGTCTGAGAAAGAACCATGGATTGAGATTTCAAGAGAACAAATTCTATAAATATCACGACCATCCATATTAAACTTACCACGATGTCCTTCAGCAACAAGGAGGCGTTCTTTTCATCAGCACATTGTCTAYAAGCCTTAAGGAAGAAAGAAAGAAAGAACGAACTATAAAATGGCTTGAATCCTACATCTTACAAGCTCTTTTTTTTCCCCACCATTTATTTACTCAGGATAGTAATAAGTAAAAACAATAGAATGAATTAGATATTAATAAGTGCCAATAATTCTCTTGAGAAACACACGAAATGCGTGAATATTGAAAATAATCTCATACGAAATCGAGCCTAACCTAGGCTCCTGCACAGATGTCATTAGGGTCGGTCACACATCGTTTTTCTCCCCAGGAGGGGAATGTTGCGTGTGAAGACGAGACGACCCTAAGAACATCTGTGTAGGAGGCGAAGCCTAACCCTGAGCAACAGGGCCCAGTTGTTCAAAGCCCGATTAGTGCTAATCTTGGGTTAACTCTTAATAAGACCTATAGAGTTAATCCTGGATTAGCGCTTATCCAGCTTTGAACAACCCGGCCCAGATCATTTGAAACTGGAGTACTAACTTACCTGTACCAGTAACTGGGGTGATGGATAAACAGAGACGATAGCAGCCGCCATATTTGCTGATACGTTGTGGTATTGTTGAAGCTGTTGCTGCCATAGCTTTAAAAGGCCGCTGCCATCTTTTGCGACCTGCAGTTGATTGAAAAGAATGGGTTATGAATTGAGTTCTTCCCTCGAATTGCAATCTAGCAAATAAAAGAAGGTGAAGGACAGGACAGAGTCCTTTCTGTACTCTAATAAGAAATTAAGAAAAACACAGAGGAATAATCTTGTGGCCGCCATGTTGGCGCATGCGCATTAACTCTTTCATCTACTTGTTCCCTTGTCTGTGACAAACCTGGGAACCAAAAGCCCGTGATCGCAAAACCTAGGACCGAGTTGAACTGGAATTAAGGAAGTCTCTTAAAACTACAAGGTGTTGTGTTGTTAGCGGTTTCTTAATTCATCGAGTGCAACCAACAATCAACACTTGATACGTTGCAGTCATTTTAGTCTCTTGGAAGTTGTGGGAGGGGAATAAACTATTTTTTATTAATATAGTGAAAGCAGTCTAGTTAGGTTAGTTAAATTCATGTGTACAGGTAGTTTCATATATTATATTTCTTAATTTATTTATATTGATGGGCCAGACTTTGTTTGTAACCCAATAATTAAAGAGTTATTATTATTACCACATGACTCAAAATCCCTCGATATACGAATAATGAAACAATGAAACAGCGGCCATGTTGGTTGAAGTAACAAGTGAAGCTAATGAGGAATGCTTTGATAACCAACATGGCGGCTATGACGTAACATGCACCACAAAAATACGGCAAATGGGCCAATTTCGCATACTAAAAATAGATTGGAGTTYCGTTATCTCAAACTTCTGGGAATCTCGAACTTCCGGGCATGTCCCGGCGCTCATTTGCATCACTACAATTTCATTCTGGATATCTCGAAGCCCCGTTATTCCGAACCTTTGCCCTTGTCCCCAGGAGATTCAAGATAACGGGAATCCAATGTACTGCTARAAGTAGTGCTTATACTATTCACACACCTTAACGGGCGGTTTTTTTCCGAAATCCACGCAAAAACTAAACGTTTCCGGTTGGCTTTTTCTGAAATTAAATTCATGAAAGTTTAAAGTACATTGATTTGTTTTTAAGGTTTAAACTAAAGCCTGGTTCTCCCTAGCGACTCAAGCCGACGCAAGCATTAGAACAAGCCCAGGGCAACGCAAGAAAAAACAAAATCTTCTGTTCTCTTGCAATTGGGTCGCTTCTTTTCATTAGCACATGGGGTTGCGTCTGCTTGCATCACTTGTGAAAACCAGGCATAAGAACCACACCCTAGCCCAACTAACCAACTCAACCTGATCCCATTCAACTGACAAAAACCACACCCAAGCCCACCCTGACCCAACCCAATACGATCCGATCCAAACAAAAACAATCACACCCAAGCCCACCCTGATCCAACCCAATACGATCCGATCCAAACCAATAAAACCACACCCAAGCCCACCCTGACCCAACCCAATACGATCCGATCCAAACAAAAACAATATTGCCGCTGCATACCAAAAAAAAAAAAAAAAAAAAGAAGAAGAAAAAACAATGACATAATCATAAGTACTTACTTGAAAGGAGCCTCGGCCAACGCCTTGGTAAACATTCCAACAAATTCAGCAAACTCCTGCTCCGTTTCACAAACAGTGATTTTAATATTTGAAGTCAGCTCCATATAAACCAGTAGTTCCTCTACCTCCACTTTTTTCACGGAGACCGACGATGTGTTTTGTACGTTTTTCGTTTTGCGCGATTTGGACTTGGCTTGCTTTGTCGTATTGGTATCTCCGCGCACGGCATTCCTAAACTGTCGATTTTGCCTGTTTTTTATGTCCCTGTTAATTAAATAACGTCATTCAAAATAAAGCGATGGGATAGACTCATTGCAGCATGTACATGTTGAGGTGTTTTTAGGGGGAAGGGGAGGAGGAGAGAGATCAATGGAAATACAAATTATGACCCGCCTCATTTTTCTTTAGATCTCCCATTTTAGCAGATAAAATAATTTTTGTTGATGGCCCTCTCCTAGTTTTCCTCTATTGCTTTGTTGCTATGTTAGTATCTTTTAATGACAGAACTTTGGATCGAATGAAAAAATGGTGGGCCTCCCCTATATTCCTCAAGCTCTCCCTTCTCCTACATTTTAAGAAGATGAATGCTCTCTTACCTGAAATATTTTTCTAAACCGACGATGACTACAGTGACAGTCTTATTCGTGTAGGTGCTGGTTAAATTACTGCAGAATGAGTTGACCGAACCGATGCAAGCCTGAAAAAGACAGCAAAAGAATTAAAAGGAATAGTCCAATAAACACATAAGAAAACAATGGAATAAGCCTGAAGCGAGATGACGTTTTACCCCCGTCTCTAGACCATAATCCTTTTCACACTGCTTTTGTTCTTTAATTATGACTATTGTACCCGTATTCTCTTAGGAATCAAAAATTTTAATATGAAAGAATTTTAAAAACTATTATGGTATAGAGTCGGGGGTAAAACGTCATCTCGCTTCAGGCTTATTAGGGTCTACTAAAGTGTATTAGGCCTAGGGCAAACGTCGAACTTTCCATGCACCGAACTGAATTACATCAGAGAATGCCGCCTCATTATCACCTGATATCCATCGTTTTTAATGAGTTCGGTGCATGGAAAGTTCGACGTTTGCCCTAGGCCTTAGTCTAATACGTATTTCACGGGTTTAATAACTACCATCTATTACGCAAGCCCAAACAATCTGTATTATCATTCTAAAGGTTTCTAAATTCGAGTTACTTACATTTTTAAAGTCATCGACCAATGATATGAACGCTTCTATATCCAAGCGAACTATGACGTTGTTTTCATCCGAATAAGTCTTGTGAGATTTAATCTGAAAGTAATTAAAAACGGTGAGTTCATATTACAACTGTAATATCGACCAATGATATGAACGCTTCTATATCCAAGCGAACTATGACGTTGTTTTCATCCGAATAAGTCTTGTGAGATTTAATCTGAAAGTAAAAACGGAGAGTTCCTATTACAACTGTAAAATGTTTTATCTAAAACATCATTCATTATATAGTGACCGTAAATGAACCCTCTATTAAACCCCTTCGTTGGGCTTATTTCAGGCACGGTGTTTTTTTTTTGGGGAGGGGGGCGGGGGGCCTCGGTGCAAGACGGGTTGCTTATAGAGAGGGGGTTTATGGTTTTCGCGAGCCGCAGTATACGATGTACGCTATCATAACTTTACTTGAACACCGTAAACATTACAAGAGAGATGTGAGAAGGAATCTGAACGCTTCGACTGACTCAATTATTATAATCACGAATCAGTACTGCACTATATCTACGGATATCTACGGATGCTTTTGAAGTTTGAATATTTTATTCTAGGGAGCCTCGGAATCGTGCTAGAATCTTTTCGAACGTGACCTATCAAAGGATTGGGTTAAACTACAAAAATTGCAGCTAGTCATAATCTCGAACTTAAAACTTAATAAATTAGACTCCAATCTCTCGCTTTCACTGCCTGTTAAATAAAGCATCACCAGTATTTTCCACTAGATGGAGACATGTGATTGTGGAATGCAGGCATGCAGTTGATGTCTTTCTAGCGTCCAAATTGAACAGTTTTTTTGTGGAATTGCTTTCATGAGTAACGGTGAAACTACTCTTCGTTTTGACGTTAAAGTAGTGGGACTGTCGAAGGTTCTCTAAAACCGCCATGCCACAGCATTTGTGACGTAAGATGCACATTAACAGCAGATCAGCTACGAGGTCAGATTTATTTATTACATTACTTCGCTTTTTGATATTCCAGAAAAAATAATCTTTCCTCATCTTTGACCAAGTGAGTATGAGCCATGGTCGATCGATGCAAAATAAACCATATTCAGCCATCTTGATGACGTCAATTTAGTAACCATGGTGCTCTAAAGACAAATGAACCCACCTAGAAATAAAACTACAAAAATTGTAAGGACGTTACCATGGCAACTCTAAATGAATAGCCAATCACAAGTCTTGACATGTAGCTCTTAGACGAGGAAATATTATATTTTTAGAGGCACACCTTTCAGAGTGTTCTAGAATTTAAAATCAAGAAATATTTCAGTTTTAGAATTTTCTTTGGCTAATGGCAGAAGTGTTTAGGGCTTTTTGATTCTTTGGACTCCAGCTTCATTTCAGGAAAATCTACGTATATCTGTTGTATATCTGTATAGGTGCTTGCCATGGCCGGACGGCGTTCCTCGTACGCGTTTCATAGGAACGGTTGAACTAAACAAGACAAAATCGGTGTATGCTGAATTTCGCGTCAAAGGAATAAATGGGACGACTGCACCGATAAATCTTTCAAAAAACAACATGGAAAATCATAAAGACGAAACATCAAACAGTCTCATTCCATCAGACGACGTCCACCCTGTAGAAAATGGTTGCAACGGTAACGATTCAAAGGTTTGTGTTTTGAATGAAAAGAGAACAATCAACAATAATTTTAAGCCGACAATAACGGATAAAAGCGAGCACGATTCGACGACCGATGAAATCCAGACTAAAAGCAATAATAACTGTAATGATCATTCTAGTAAGTCCGCTAAAATGGTCGGGGATAATGATTTTCTGACGCCAAAGAACTATGAAAATGGCGAAGAAAATGAAATTATTGAATTTGGAAAACAAAATGGTGGTGAGTATGTGAAGAACACACCTAAAGATGAGATTCCGAAACGTTACCTTCCAACTCCGCCAGTGACAAGCCAAAAGAAAACCCCGAGAACAAGACCAAGTAAGTTGGGAACCGACGAAGAAAAGGACAAACGCGTGAGTATGTGTCCCGTGATTGTACGAGAAAGGAGGTCTTCGTCATTTACAAACAGGGCAGATTCTCCCCGCGAGCTCTTGCAAATCAAAGCAAGAGACCGTTTGGAGAGGGAGAATGGATTTCAAATCTTAAAACCAAAGACTCTTATATCGTGTGATGTTCCTTTTAGAGCAAAAATAAAACTGGCCCGAAGAGGTAGTACTGGACAAATTCGAATTCAGGAACAAATTATAAATAGCAATGGTAGCAAGCAATGCCCTAAAGTTCTCGAGTCCGTAGATGCATTAAGAGTAGACAAGCATAGTTCCCCTTCTCAAACAGATAATAATAGTCTGCCCTCATCTTCACTGTCACTGTCTGCATGGAAAAGGTCTAAAAGATTGGCAAGACGATCATCTCTTCCCCTGGAATCGATCTCTACTCATTCTGCGAACGTCGTACTCTGCCAAACTACGTCAACCAAGGTTGGACACAAACACGAAGCCTGGGTGCCCACACAAAAGGCAGTACCGAGGCCAGGCAAGTTCCGGAAATGTCGAAAGCATTTTCGGCGTCACTCTTCCCCCGAAACAATACTGAGTTCTGATGTAAAAAACCAATACAATGATAGGAAGCTTTTGAATGTCCATGAGCAAGAGTCCACTTGCTACTTACAGACAAGGAAGGAGAATAAATTCAATGAACATTTACGAAGAGAARCGCCCAAGCCGTATGCACTTCCACCACTCCATGCGCCGAGCGAAGTTAAGAATATGGAACTTCCATTTCCAGATTCGCCTGCACTACAGCCAACTCCGGAAAGAGTACTTCTTCCGCCTATTGAAAGAAGCAGGAGTTCTTCTGAAGTACAATCCTTTCATCAGAAATTAACACAGCCTAATTACTTTCCAGACATGGTTGTAGGGTCCAGGAGAGACAAAAACGTTGACGTACAGCACAGAGATTCAATTTCAAACGCAAAATCAGGGGCAAAATTATCAACGACAGGCTCACCGAAAGGCAAAGTTATTCTTCCTCCTCTGGAGGGACGAAAAAGACAAAGCTGGGTAAGTCCTCCATTTGACCTCTACGATACACAGTATGAAAAGAGCCAAAGGTCTTTTGCACTTTCACCTTTAGAGAGAAAAGCCAGCTTGAAGAATTCGATGGAGCCAAGCTCTCATGCGCCAGTGTTGAGGAAGACTAGTTATTCGCCCATCGAAACAAAACCTGACAAAAGGCAGTCGCCAAAAGGTCATGCTTCTCGTCCTAACTCTCCTGGATGTAATCTCTCTCCAATAGCATATCACAGAGAAGGCAGACAACATTGCAGACATATGTCATCCCCTCCAACGCAAGAATATTTTTCAAAGTCACAAGAGTTCATTTTTCCCACAGAAAGAAAATTGGAAACAGCTTGTGTGGAAGGAGTAAGAGAAAGACGATTTTCACGGCAAGAATCCCCGCTGGCAACCAGTGAATCTAAGGAAAGACGACGCTCGAGACAAGAATCAAAGAGCAATTCCCCTCGAACTCCACCAAATAAGATCATTCTTCCTCCAATTGAGGGACAAGGCAGTCCGAGGGCTTCAAGGTCCTCTTCCCCAACGAATGACCCACAACAAACTCGCAATATGTCTCCGAAAACAGGACAACAGGAAGCGTTCCGATATCGCAAACATGCATATATGAAATCACCTCCTGCGACAGAATATTTAACAAAAGCAGAAAAATTTATTTTTGCGATAGAAAGGAAACCAGAAACAGTACCTGTGGAAGACTTCAAAGAGAGACGATTTTCTCGGCAAGAATCCCCACTGGCAACCAGTGACTCCTGGGAGAGAAGACGCTCAAAGAATAACTCACCTAAAACCTCACCAAACAAGGCTATACTTCCGCCAATTGAAGGCACAGGCAGTCCAAGACCATCGAGATCATCTTCGCCAGTCACCGAAACGCAAAGGAATCATAAGACTCCAAGGCCTCCTTCATCTACAAAAGAGGCACACAGGGCTCGCAATATGTCAAGATCATCTTCTCCTGTTAGAGAGGCACATAGGATTCGCAATCTGTCAAGATCATCTTCGCCTGTGAGAGAGGCACATATGGCTTGCAATTTGTCAAGATCATCTTCGCCTGTGAGAGAGGCAAATAGGGCTCGCAATCTGTCAAGATCATCTTCGCCTGTGGGAGAGGCACATATGGCTCGCAATTTGTCAAGATCATCTTCGCCTGTGAGAGAGGCAAATAGGGCTCGCAATTTGTCAAGATCATCTTCGCCTGTGAGAGAGGCAAATAGGGCTCGCAATTTGTCAAGGTCCGCTTCGCCCATGAATGAATCACATCATAATGCTCGCAATTTGTCAAGGTCATCTTCGCCTGTGAAGGCTCGCAATCTGTCGAGGTCCACTTCACCCGTACAGGAAGTACATTATATGGCCTGCAATCTGTCAAGGTCAACTTCGCCTGTGGACGAAGCACAAAGGGCTTGCAATCTGTCAAGGTCCACTTCGCCCATGAACGAAGCACTATATAAGGCTCGCAATCTGTCAAGGTCCTCTTCACCAGTACGTGACGCTGAAAGAGTACGAATGATTTCTCTACAAATAAGGAAGGAAGATATTACAGCTAATTTAAGACTTCGATCACCTCCAACACCAGACCATCTTTTAAAGAAAGCAACTTTCGTTTTTCCGGTTCAAAATAACGAAGCGATTTCGACTGCAGACCTCAATGACAGCAATTCCACTCGTGAAGATCTTCGACTCCCTGCTCGTAAATCTAGGAGAGGATCCAATAGCAACTCACCTCAAACCCCCCCAAAAAATATTCTACCTCCAATAGAAGATCCAATCTGCCCAAAACCCTTAAGGTCTTCTTCGCCAATAAAAGAGCCAAATAAGATCACAAAGCCGATAGGAGGAAAAAGACGGAAGAAGCGAACATTCCCTAAATTAAAACGACTATTATTACCTCTTGATACCGGAAAGGCTATGCAGTCAGATTTATCTCCAGAACCTCAAACGCCAGGCAGCGGTTCGCGTTTCATGAAATTTCCAGTTCCACCAAATAAAGAATTCCATAGTTCGAGTTCGGGCAATCTAACGGCCGAAAACCCTCATGTCATTGTTATCACCCCTCCGTGCACCACAAGGGGGCCCCAAGCTAGTTCACATTTCATACTTCCAGACCCAGAGAACAACGAAAACGTTGGGCCAAGTGAATCTGAACTCACTCCTTCGTCGTTTGCAGCAACAAATAACGATTGTAGGATGGAAACACATCTCCAAGGAAGATGCCCAACGGAAAACGAAACCATTAATCCCAGGTCTTCCTCAGCCTCACAGCGTCAACAGTACTTTGTTCCCTCGCCTCCAAAAAGTCCTAAGTCATCACTTCGGAGGACCTCTTTGATCATTCGAGGAAAACCGGATTCGGCGAAATCTGGGCGAAGTTCTCCTGTAAAACAAGGCTTTTTGCTACCAAATATGCCAACTATCTCAAGACGAAATTCAGTCACATTAAGAGAGGTAACGAATCCATTTGATTCCTATCGGGGACTCTGATCATTTGTTTTTCAGAGTTCCCCTTTCAGCTAGTGATTCCCTGCTAGCAGAGTGTCTCTTCTCTTTCTCTCCCTTCTTTCAGGCGGGGAGGAAGGAGACTCTGCCGATGTAGAGCGTTTCCTTTGATACACCGCCGTCCACGATTGTGGACGAACAAAACCAGTTTTAAAACCGGTTTTTAACCGATTACATGTAGTGCGCATGAGCAAATGTAATACACCGTGGCGCCAAACATTGTTTGACGAGAGTGGCTGTCAAAATCATGACAGCGTTGCTAAGTTACGCCACGCATGCGCGACAGAAATAACGTCCTACATCGGCAGAGTCTATTTATCTCTCTCAACCAAAACAAAAGGAAAATAGGCTCTGCTAGCAGGGAAAGCTAGTGACAAATGACATATTTTATCTTTTTTTCGTTTGATGGCAATAAACAACATCAATAGGGAATGTGCACGAGCACGAATCTCTAGCACAAAGCATGATGGGAAACCTAGTATTACACAAATTAGAACAAAGAAATCAATAGGATTATCAAAAGAATTTACTCTTTTATTTTCGTCTATTGAAATACTGTTACATAAAAAAAGTCGAAGGAATCATTGTCAGAGGAATTTTTAAAGGAGCTGTAAAACCGTAAGTACTAGGTTTCCCAATATGCTTTGTGCTAGAGATATATGTTCCATCGGTATATGTTCCATGCTGTATATCAGAAACAAATTTTAGCTTGTCCGACGTAGCAACAGTAGCTAGAGAGGTAGAACAATGATTGCGGTATCGGTGTATTAACCAAAATCGAGGGTGTTTTCAAGGATCTCCGGTTCACAATGTACGACTTGCACTAACAGGTCACGTGACCCTACCTCCCTTAAAACGAGCATTTGTGTGAAAACGAACTTTAGAAACGTTTCAGCTCATAATGTTGAGTATAGGATAAATGGCATTAAACAAAAAGTCAACGATTTTATAAGGATTTGTATGGGAAAAGTGTCGGCTGGCAACCTCTTGCCATCCAGCGCATTTCCCCATACTAATCCTTATGAAACATTGAAATTTATTTTTGTTGAATTTTTTTTCCCTTTTGCGCTTGTTATGAGCTACAACTCGGCCACCCTACCTATACTGAGGTGCTCATTTCATTTTCTGATTTTAATTTTGACACAGCTGTTTATTTCAAGGGAGATAGGGTCACGTGACTTGTCAGTGCGAGTTGTATAGTATTAGTTGGCAGATTTTGAAAAAAACCAATTAGAAATTACAATAATTTCAAAAAAGACCGTTATTCCAGAGTAAGTTAAAATGACACCAACTTTAAGGGCTGCAAAATCTGTCAAGGAAAAAAAGACATTAACACGGTTTACATGTATTTCTTGATTGTCAGGGAGTGGAGCTGAGGTGCGACCAAGAAATCAGTTCAGTGGTAGCAAGAACCCCCAGGATGAGAAGCCCAAGAAATTTTAATCTGGGCTCAATAAGCGATGATGAATATCCATCAAATCAAAGTTTTACACCGCCAAGTCCTGCACTTGGTCCTCACCCATTTCGTTTTAATATACCGTCTCCAGCAGGTAAGACAATTTCAAGAAAATTTCGTAATGGAAAAAATTTGACTGCCGGAAGTTGGCAGTCAATATACGGCTCAGTGTTTCGGCGTAATAGTCCCCTTCACAGTTCCCTGCGCCATCTTGAAAGGAAGCTGTGCCTTTGCATCGAAGGGAGACGAACGGTGAGCTTGCAATAATAGAGAAAAGGTGAATAATTGTCCAAGGTATTTAAAAAAAGGTCTCTATCATTGCAAGCTCACCGTTCGTCTCATTTCGATGCAAATGCAATACGTATGCACTCTCGACTCCAAAGCTCTGTCATTATTACAGCGCATGCGCCAAGAAATAGCAAGCATGCGGTGTAAGGCGGGAAGCCCGCTTGCAAATGCTAATTTACCCAACCACAGCGCATGTCCTATCTTCGTGAAGCGGCTACGCTTACGAGGAATGGACGAAACCAAAGTTCAAAGTATTCGTGGAGAGTGGTGAATTTCCAAAATGGAGATGAAGTGTTATTTAAGTGGATGTCAACTTTTATATAGCGTTCGACAGTAATGTTGCGTGTTCTTCATAAAATTCAAATACTTTGCAGGGAGTGCAGATACGGAGGTCGAAGCCTTATTATGTCAAGCACGTCGGAAAATCGAGAACTTAGTCGGTAGCCAAACTCCCTCACCCAATCTATACCGATGCAGCAGTGCCGACAACAACTACCTTAGTGATGTCTTTCTTACCCCTTCCCCGGGTAGGTCTCCTGTCTTTGAAATGGAAGAATCAGAAAAAAGGTACTCTCACTGTCACTTTAGGAGGCTGAGTCTAGAAGAAAAAGTGGGGATCGAAGACGACGAAGAAATGATCAAAGAAACCGCGGAAGGTAGTCAAGCTCAGGATGCTTTGAAAACTGAGATTGCAAGGTCAAAGAGCCCGTCTATAAGGTGCAAAGAACGGACTGGACAACTGCCAAAGAAAATGATAAAAGAAGAACAAGAAAATAATGGAGGCGAATGACAGATTTTCATTAAGTTCCTGCATAATGCGTCGTCAAAGAACTTCAAGGGAATAATGAATTGAGATACAAATGTATGATAAAAGAAACACATAACGAAGATAACTCTCACTAGTTCCTTTGTCTAATAGGACATTAGACCATTGCGTATCATTTGCAAAATGGTCACCCCTCAAGAAAGTTTCAAGTAGTGCTGTACAAAAATAGATCCAGTATGGGGAGGAATCCCTCCAGTATGGGGAGGAATCCCTCCAGTATGGGGAGGAATCCCTCCAGTATGGGGAGCAATCCCTCCAGTATGGGGAGCAATCCCTCCAGTATGGGGAGCAATCCCTCCAGTATGTGGAGCAATCCTTCCAGTATGGGGAGGAATCCTTCCAGTATGGGGAGGAATCCTTCCAGTATGGGGAGGAATCAATTCAACAACTGTCTTCTTTCAATATCCTTGTATTCCCCCTCTCATGATTAGTATCCCGTATCCCGTATCCCGTATCCCGTATCCCGTGCCGTCTAAATGTTTGCTCCAATTTCTCACATCCCTAAATTCCCCCCACAACTGGTATCCAGTTGTCAAAATGTTCTAATAGGCTCTCGAATTGTGTGGCGAAGAAACACTTTACAACTGATACACAAAGTATTACAAAATTTGTAATATAGAGTATTACTACGATCGTTAGCAATATACAGAGTGTCTATGTGTGTAGAATRAAATGAACTCGAGGGCAACAGTTCACATTTGAAAGTACAAAAGCCAAAAAATAAGCTATTGGCTATCTATATATGCTTTTGGAAGTGATGAATGCTGTTATGTGCCTTATATTACGATATTTCAGAGATGTTTTAAAAATAATACGATTGAACGAAATATCCTTGGTAAGAAGGACACTGAATTTGCAGTATATCCAATAGAGTAATTATTACTGAGGTGTCAAGTGGAAAGAGCTTTGAACCACACGGGAAAATGCGGGCTTATTAATCGATAATGCGAAAACCGATAAAAATATTATAGCAAAACCATCAAAATTTGCTGAAGTCTTAGAATTTTAGCATTCAATAACTTAAAAACTTGTCATAGCAAATCACCACCGCAAAGTACAGCAGTGGCGAAGCTCAACAGCGTTGAACTAAAAGCATGTGATAATGCTATCAAGATACTGAAATATTAAGAGCAATATTTAATATATAATTACTGAGGCACGCAGCATACGCCTGAAGCTGCCTGCATTATACCTACGAATGCTGCGTGCCGAAATGATTATCTACTATAATTATTGTTCTTATCAAAATCCAATTGTTTTCTTTCTAGCTTGTTTATCATAGAAACAAAGCCAATAATGAATGTCTGATTTTCCTCTATGCATTCGTTGGGATAATGCAGACTGAAAACAATGGATTTTGATAAGATCAGTAATTAATGGATAAAAAATCTAGAAATTCTACTCACTTCAAGATCTTCTCCAACTTGGTGATCAACTGTTGCACGTTTCCAAGTGATACTCTTTGGTATAGGCTGGGTTTGTAGAGAATACGAAACCCCTAAAGCTGTAAGTTTGGCTATAATGGGATCAATATCAGCATCAGATGCTCCTTTGAAAAGTAGGTCTGGATCCATGCACACTTCTATGGCCTGGTAATAAATGTGGTTGCAAAAATAATGAATGATGGGTTTCCTGTGGCACACTTAGCATGTATACCTATATCCTCTGTGATAAAATGAAATCGTAAAGTTTTGGTGTAGACCCCTTGAGCATGTTGGAATGCAGCTCAATTTGAAGGACATAACAATAAATTTCCAATTCTCATGAGATTAAAATACTTTTGTTTTGTCTTCCAAATTGAGCTCCTTGACGTCACATGCAAGGGGTCTACTGTATTGCACCAGAGCTAGGAATATTGCCATGCACTGAATGAGATTGAGTATGTTCCCACACACATGTACATGCTCTAACAATCTATTTGTTTGATGGTAGTTTGCTGCCAATAGACCTCTTCAGCTCTGACATAATGTTTTCATATTTCAGACCACATGTCATTCCTAGAGTATCATTTCTTTGTTTAAGGTTTGCGCTCGGTTGCACATGAGAAAACACATGAATATGGATGCAGCTCAAACAAAGAATCTTATTCTCAAGGGAATGACACGTGGTCTGAAACGGGAAAACATTACCCCAAGCCGAAGAGGTCTATTGACCTGACTCAACAGTTGTCTCAATCAGTGTAAGCAATGAAAACAGCACCCAAGTAGGCATAAATAAGACATGCTGTATAATACTGTATGATTATCTTGAGCATTTCATACTTTGAAAATCTTTGACCTGTGCAATGTCACTTCAACAGCAATGCAGATACAGTCAACTCTTGTTACAATGGACACAATTGGGACTGTCACTTGGTGTCCGTAATAGCGAGCGTCCGCAATAGCAAGAATTATAATTACAGTCATTCCTTTGTCAATATTTTTCCTGGGAATTTTTCTCCAATCCGTAAATCTGTGAGTCATCCGTAATATTGGGGTGTCCGCAAGGTGAGAGTTGACTACGTACTATGAATATATATTTTATATATATTTTACCAATAATAGCTATCAGTTTTAGCTTCTATGATTTATCATGATTTGACAATTCTGCAACTTGGTATAAGCTTATATTATATGTAGACCCCCTAGATGAGCAATTTGGGTAAATTTATTGAATAAATATGTTTAAATAAAGAATAATAATAATATACTTAAACTATCTTCAAAAAATTTAAAATATTTTACAAAAATGTTTTACCTTCATACACTCCTCTTTCTTCTGTGATTTTTGATTCAGTGCATCTGCCTATGGCAAAAAAGTACAATAGTAGGACTGTCCTTCTTTAAATACAACATTATGATATACTGTTATAAAACGATAACTCACAATGCAAAACCTTTTGGTTAATAAATATTTTTACACTAACTTACAATTTTTTTGTGCGCTGATTGGTTATTTTTAATTATCAATATGAGGACAGAAGATAAAGCTGACGTCAACAAGTGCGCSACCTTTCYGTTGGTTGTTTTGATCACTAGGAATGAGAGGTTTTTATCGTTTTTGTTATTGTAAAAAACAAATTTACCTCAGTTTTTTATGTGTCTGTCCCCTTATTGCAATAAATTTCATCATCATATTGTCAAATTAGTGTGGATACCACATACTACTTTGACAATATGATGATGCAAATTATTGTCAATAAAAGGACAGACACAAAAAAACTGATGTAAATTTGTTAAGCTTGCAGTATAAAAGCAAGAGTGGTTGACCAAGTCAGTGGCAGATCCAGAATGCCCTTTGGTCTTGGAATGCAGTATTCAGTATTCAGTATGCAGTATTCAGTATGCATCATTCAGTATTCAGTATGCAGTATTCAGTATGCAGTATTCAGAATGCAGTATGCATCATTCAGTATTCAGTATGCAGTATGCAGTATTCAGTATGCAGTATTCAGTATGCAG